AGCCAAGAAGAGAGAAGAAGAAAGAAGAAAGAAAGAGAGAGAGAGAGAGAAAAGAGGAGAAAAGGAGAGAATAAAAGTCTGGTTCGAATGAGAGAAAAATTACCTCTCCCATTCGGCCAGACATGTTTTATATTACTAACATAATGGAAAAGACACATGTGCCCTTACTTAAGTGAGGGACACTAGTTCTAATATAACATTACAGATCAGAAACCTCAACATAAGTATAAAGACAGAAATACCCCTACATACTCGACACTAACATCTACCAAGATTGCACCCCTTGTTCTTCAGCCCACTCCTAAACTTCAGCCACCTATCCTACTGATAGTATTTCACTTTTGTGTATTTTATGTATGGTCCAGTGACCGCTTCAAACCATCTCAATACAGCTCTAATGTTCCATAGCTGCTCTTGAGAAGAGCATCAAACCATTTTCTGAGTTCTATTTTTAAAGAATTTCTAGGATTCTAATTAAGCGTCAGGTGCAGTTTTAGTAAGTACCAAATTTCCAAACTTTGAGGAGCCTATATACACATAAATCTGCCCAAGTCAGCAGAATTGAATAAGAATTTAATTGAGTTTTCATTCTCTATGTTGTTGTTTTTCCGTTCTCTTGAAATCAATGTTTTGCAAATTGAAATCATATCGTAATCCGTAGAGAAGGTTGAATCAAATCAAATAATGAATCATAAATCGTTAGATTATCTCTATTATTCATAAACTTGTCAAAAAAATATAGATATACTAAAAGGCTAAATATATATAGGAAAGTGATTTTACCCTATTTTTAACTCATACCTATCATATATGTACCTACCACAGTAGAATGTACCACTTGTACAATAGAAGCCTAATATGTTATAGTCACATTTGACTTGAAGTCAATTAATCCACATACAATGGCTCTTTAACGTAACCTAAGGAAAACAAATTCAATGTATGGTCTTAGATAACGTAAATAAATCATTTTCTAGTAAGGGATTTAAAACAAGTCTCCCTTGATAACACTAAGTATAAATAATAAAAAACAAAGTACAGAACTAATTCTTAATTGAATTTATATGAATTGTAGTGATGCAGGAATCATAAAAATCGTAAGATTTATGTTTTTTTAAGGTAAAGTTAACTATTTCATTAAATCAAAAAAGATATCTCCCATACAACAGGAGGTTGTACATAAGATTCATAAATCATATGATTTATCAATCAAATTGTATGATTCTAACAAAAAGCGAAAGATTTTTGCAGAAAAGGATTCAGACATAAGATTTGAATCAAAACCCTTGGGATTAATGATTCAACATTCAAGTCATGAATAGCATCATAAATTGTAAGATTTTGACAACATTGCTTGAAATCTGTGTTGAAGAAACACATGATTTCTTCGTTTCTCTTTGTTATTCTAATAGTTCTTTGTTACTAGAAGAAAACCAAGAACTATTCTCTGGATTTTCCCTGAATTCAGAGTATACTTGGCTGGATTTTTAAGTAAGACTACCTTACCCACCTAGTCTCCTCCCTGGGTCTATTTTATTTATTTAAATAAAATACAGGCACTACAAAAAAATGAATTACATAATAGAAAAAGGAGCCAATAAAATAACAGAGCAATAAATAAAATAGAGGCACTACAAAACAACAGAAGTCTATTTGAAATTTAAAAGTACCTTATTGGTTAGACCACTTATGTCCTTGTAATTGCATTGAGAGATAAAATGTTGATTGGACATATAGGAATCACATACACTTCCATAGACCCTATGGCTCCTACCAGAGCTTAACATCTTTTGATTTAAGGAGCACCCATCCCTTCTCAGTCTTCTCCATCGTAAAGTTTCTCTTGCAAATTCTCCACTGCAAAAAGGAGCATGAATGTTGCTTTTGCTAACATATATACGAATAAGAATCTCTTTGGTTCACAGTCAGGATAGGAATTAGAATTAGAATTAGAATTAGAATTAGAATTAGAATCGAAATCCCCCAGAATCAAAATCAGAATTACCTATTCCCAATGCCTGTTTGGTTCCGACAAGAATCGGAGTCAGATTTCAAAATTTTTTATTTTTTATTAGTTTATTAATATTTTATTATTATTGTTATATTATTTTATTATTATATTACTATTATTACTTTTATTATTTTGTTATATTATTATTAATTTATTATTACTTTAATAATATTATATTATTATTTTATTAGTATTTAATAATTAATATCTTAGTATTTATTATTAATTTATTAATATATTATTTTATTTTATTTTATTTTAATATTTTATTAAAAGTTTATTAATAATGTCTTCTTTTATTAATAGTTTATTCATATTATTATTACTACTGTTGATAATATTATATTAATATTTTATTAGTACTTTATTATTATTGTTATTGTTACCCCTTTTCCTCTCTTGCCTATTTCTTCTTCTGAGTGATCTATCTTTTTGTTGTTTACTCCAGCAACAAGAGTTTCCTCTCTTTCTAATCTCTTGCTCATTCTTTACTGGACAGCATTCTGTCTTCTTCATCCTTAATCACCTAAAGCCCCTAGTTACAAGATATTCTGTGATAGAGAAAAGAAAATAAAAGAGAAGAGAAGAAGTTTTTTGTCAAGAGAATCAGGTGTGTCACTGTTCACACCCAGAAATTTTTTACTTAAACATAATGAATAAATAATCAAAAAGCCCATGACTAGGCGCCCTAATACAAAAACATATAAAAGGATAAAAATCCCCTTACACTCTCAGCAATCCCCCTCAAGCCAAGCATAGATATTTATCATGCCCAGCTTCTCCAAATTGTTGTCAAGTTTTGATTTGGGAACGCCTTGACAATCACCCAACTAATCTTCAGACCTCACAAAAGGTAAACAAATCTCTCCACTAGCAACTCTTTCTCTAATTCAGCGCCTATCAACCTCTATATGCTTTGTACAGTCATGCAAATATTATATTAAAATTTTATTAGTACTTTATTATTATTGTTATTGTTATTGTTACCCTTTTTTCCTCCCTCACCTATTTCTTCTTCTGAGTGGTTTAACTTTTTGTTGTTTACTACAGCAACAAGAGTTTTGTTGCTGATCAAAAAAAAATGGTTGAGCCGGCATACAACCTCTGATTGTATTTGTTTTTAATTATTGAATGAATTCAAGTTCTTTGTTGCTGATCAAAAACAAATAGTTGAGCCGGCATGTTATGGGCCCGGGCGTAGGATCTCGTCACGGGTCGATCCACGGGGAGAACCTCTTGCTTCCCCTTGCGCCTTCCTTTGCGTGCAGACCCTATTGTGGAAAACCAAATGGGTGATTTGTCCAAGAGACCACCCGAACTCTCCGAATGGGTGATTTGTCCAAGAGACCACCCGAACTCTCCGAATGGGTGATTTGTCCAAGAGACCACCCGAACTCTCCTCACTCTTCTCTTGACTGGAAAATTGAATGCCTTTATTCCAACTCATAGCTCCTTAAATAGGAGATTACAAAAGGGGGTTCCTTGTTGGATTCGGCTAGGCTAGGGTAATCCCTATCAAACTCAAACTTCTACATCTAATGGTAACACAACTCCTACTTCTAGTGGCAAACCGAACTCTTACTAAGAAGATAAGATAAGATAAGGATAAGGGATGAGGGATAATACAGCTGGCAGCGAGTTGGCTAGAGTGGCAAGGTAAGTGGGCCCCTGATGAGCTGTCGTGTGGGCCCCCTACTGCTGCTGCCGGGCGGTGCGCACGTCTCACAGTGCTGCTGCCGTGTGGTGCATGCTGCGGACGTGCGGTGCGTGCTGCTGCCGTGCGGTGCGCGCTGCTGCCTAGTGCTGCTGCCACACAGTGCGTTCTGCGCGCTGCCGGGCGGTGCGTGCTGCTGTGCGGGCTGCTGTGCGTGCTGCTGCCTATGAGTGTGTCTACTACTTCTGTGTCTGCAACACGGCATACCCACTCAACCCAATTCAGTTCATTCTCTTCTCCCTTCTCTCTTAGTTCTGTCACTCTCACCTGTTATTTTTTTCTCTCTTAATCATTTGTTTATTATCCTAAAAAGTTAAACTCCGATGGAGTAGGGAAAATCCGAGCCCCTCAAATAATAGGGGGAGTATTATTGATCAAAAAAAATAGGGGGAGTATTTAGGAATGCAATTGGAAGCATTTTAGCAGACTTTTCAGGTCCAGGAGTTGGTGATTCAGCTACAGCAGAGAATTTTGCTACTTTGACAAGCCCCAGATTAACTAAATCAGCAAAAGGTAAAGAATATAATAGTAGAGGGTGTTCCAAGGTGATTATAGCCTGGTTGGAAGGTGAAGACAGGGGCATAAAGATTCAGATATGCTTTAAGGGAGATACAATCTGTTAGGTGCTGCCTAACTCAGGGTTCAATGAGTGAACCAACTCCTAAGGAGTGAGGGAAAACTGAAGGGAAACAGAGGGGGAGAGAGAGAGAACGAAAGAGAGATGTTCAAATCGAATTCTTCTCTTCTTCATCATTTCTTCCTCTGGTCTTTATAGCCCAGGTAAGCTGTTTACAGTTTACAGTTTGTTACAAGACTGTTACAGTTTGTTGTAGGACTGTTACTTTGTTCTAACAGTCTGCCACTTGGATTAACCTCTTGCTGACATGGCTTCTCCCTTTTCTTGTAAACTTGATATGTAGGCTGGCTGTTCCCGTGCATGGGTCTTGGTTTGCCGCAGCTCTTGGTCTGTACAATACCCCCCTGGTTAAGTTGGACCTTGCCCTCAAGGTCAATATGGGGAAACTGGTGTTGCAGTTGTAGATAGGGTTCCCACATTGCATCCTCTTCCGGCAGCTGTGACCAGACGACTAAAGCTTCTGGAACAATGTGGGAGCCTTTCTTGACCCATCTGAAATTAGTGATATGACCGGCTCTGTTTCTAGGTCCATACCACTTCAGAATTTGGGAAGATATGGTTGAGTTATAGCATCTGGTTTCAAGCATTTTTTGAGAACCAAGACATGGAAAACTGGGTGCACTTTTGAATCTTGTGGGAGACACAATCTGTATGCAAGAGGTCCAATTTTCTCCAAGATCTTGAAAGGTCCAAAGTAGCAAGGTGCCAACTTGTTCCATCGCTGTTTTTGTACTGAAAGCAACTTGTAGGGGAGCAATTTCAAGTAAACCATGTCACCAACCTGATAGTGTACTTCTCTATGATGTTTATCATATGATTGTTTCATCCATTGTTGGGCCCGGAACAGGCTCTGTTTAAGTTCCTGTAGAATGATGTCTCGATTCAGCAGGTGTTCTTCAAGTGAAGCTACTGCAGTAGAGCCCTTCTCATAAGGAATCAATGTAGGTGGGTCACGACCATATAATGCCCTAAAAGGGGTCATTCCTGCTGATATCTGATAGGTAGTGTTGTACCACCATTCAGCCCAATGCAACCAGCTGAACCATTGTCTTGGCTTGGTTCCAGTGAAGCATCGTAAATATGTTTCTAAGCAACGATTGACCACCTCTGTTTGCCCATCTGATTATGGATGGTAACTTGTGGATTTGCTTAGCTGTACGCCTTGGAGGCGAAAAACGGAAAAAGTTCTTTCCAAAGAGGCTGATGAAGATTGGATCTGTCACTTTGGGAAACCATGAAGACGAGCTATTTCCTGAACAAAAGTGTCAGCTACTGTAATTGCAGTAAATGGATGTGGCAGTGCTAAGAAGTGGCTGTATTTTGTAAGGCGATCAACCACCACTAATATGACTGATTTACTGGCAGAGGTTGGTAGGCCCGTTATAAAATCCATAGAAATCCCAAACTTGGCTAGGTATTGGTAATGGTTTTAGTAGGCCAGCTGGGGATTGGGCCTCATACTTGCATTGTTGACATACCATGTAGATATGTATTTCCTTATGGAATTTAGCATACCCATACAATAAAATTGGGACAACACTCTCTTATATGTGCGTAGAACTCCTAAGTGTCCACCCATCGGTGTCGCATTGAAGTAATTCAGTAGTTGGTCCAAAAGGGCTGAGTCCGCTGGCAACACCATTCTACCTTTATAGTACAGTATACTTGGATAGAATACCCAGGTTTGATACCTAGTTGCTGCAACAACTGTGCTTTTATTGCTTGGAGTTCCTTATTATTGTCTACTTCCTCCCGTAATTGGTCCAATACTGCTGTAGTAGGTTGTTGGGACACATGCAATTGGAGTATGCTCTCCGCTCATTGCTTGGGTTGACATGACAGTGCAACTCTATTTGTTCCTCCAGGTTTGTATTCAATAGTGTAATCAAAGCCCATTAATTTTGAAACCCAACACTGCTGGTCTAGAGAAAGGACCTGTTGTTCCAATAGGAATTTCAGACTTTAGTGATTAGTCTTAATCACAAACTTATGGCCTAGCAGGTAGGAGCGCCAATGCTGAACTGCCAATACAACTGCCATCAATTCCCGGTTGTAGACTGAAGTGATTTTGTGTGGTGGATAAGGCCTTACTGAAGAAGGCAAGGGTCTGACAATCTTGCATCAGCACTGCTCCCACGCCCAGTCCCGACGCATCGCACTCGACCACAAAAGGTTTGTTGAAATCTGGTAAAGCTAGAGCTGGTGGGGATGACACCGCTGCTCTTAAGGCTTCAAATGCTACTTGGGCTTTGTTATTCCAGATGAAAGAGTCTTTCTTTAGGACTGTCAGTGGTGCTGCAATTATCTCATAGCTTTTAATGAAGCGTCGGTAGTACCCTATGAGTCCTAGAAATGTCCGGAGTTCCTAGGTGTTACGTGGTGTTGGCCACTGTTGGATGGTAGATATCTTGTCCGGATCTGCTGAGACCATCCCATCTTCCACCACATGGCCCAAATAGTGTACATGGGCCTAACCAAAGGCACACTTCGATTCT